ATAACCTAACCTTTGAACCTAACCTAACCTTACTCATGACTCTCTTGCTTAAAAAATAATGTTAAATTTCAATCTAGAGTTTGTGCCTGTGTTAAAATCACTAATTTTTAATCATGGAGGCTTGAAAAATACATTTATCTTGTGACTTTTCCTGGGCAGTTATAAGATGCCCCAATCATCGATCTTCTTAATCAAAAATTATTTTTAAAATTGAAGGAAGGTGTGGGATTTTCTTTACGAATAATTTGTTTTACATGCCAGTATTTCGAGAGTCAAATTGGCAGCTATAGGAAACGAATTACATGAAATAAAGTTCTGTATGTACTTTTTATAGTAAATTAATTACGGCCTTAAATTTGTTATATATTTGGTATTTTTTTAATTGTTACATTTACACAATAAATATTATTAGTATTTCCGTGTATCTCCGGGTTTCGGGTATGGCCGATATTGCTTGCGAGTAGTTTGTAACCAAATCAAGCAATATTCAGGCGTGATTCGTGTTACAGTTTCCGGAACAAGTTACATACGGAATGACGAAATGTTGCATTTTTGCTGTTAAGTTAGATGGTAGGTCCAACTTCTTGAGGTGGTTCTTGACTGATTTTGGTACCAATTCCAGGTGGTCGAAAATGCTATGGGGTGTATCTTCACTGTGTGCTGTGTGCACTTCCCAAATCTCCTTGATCTCCATTGTCAGGTCGCTGTATTTCTGGATTTTCTTGTTTTGATATTGAGATGAGGTTGTGTGTGTTCACTACAGCATACTCTATAAAATGCACTGTTTCCCCTGTTTTTCCTAGAATACTGAATCTGGTCTGTTGTGTGGTAGGTATGTGTCTATCAGTTATAATTGACCGGTTCCAGTAGGTTGCTGCTTTTTCATTTTCTATAATTGTTTCTGGTGTATAGTTCCAATATTGCTTTTCCTTTTTGGTCTTATTAATTTTTCTTTCAATGGCTTGATGCAAGATTTTCCCCATGCTGTCATGTCTAAGTGTATAGTCTGATTGACTTAGATCAACAATTATAGAGCATCCTGCCATTATGTTTTTTTTCAGACTTTGAGTTGCACCATCGACATAGAACGTTTTCCATGCTCCCATTCTTGATATTATGTTTCCTATTTTTCTCTGTTACTATTATTATTACAAAATTATAACAGCAATTACTGTATAGATAAATAATGATGGGAAATACAAACTATAATAAAATTTTAGTTAACTTCAATGCTGAATATAAACTTTAAACTTCAAATTGCTAGTGAAAAACTAGTTTTTTTCCAAGATCACACATAGCGCTAAATCAAGGTAAAGGTACCAAAAGACATATGATCATTTTATTTACGTTATTTAAAACGATCTGACTGCTACCGCTATTAGAATGCCATATTTTAGCCAACGAACCAAATGAGATGACTCGATTTTTAATAATTATTTAACAAACTGTTAAAAAAAATATTTATCACTTAATTAAATTTAACTAGACAAAATAGATGTTAACTGTTCGAACACAGGACACTAACTGACTGGAAATACAATGAAAATAAAGCAAGTAACTAATAATACTTATGTTAGCTAAAACAGAATTAAAGTCTTTTTAATGTGGTTTGAATGGAAATCACGGAGTGTATTAGGGAATAGGAAAAGTAGTGGAGAACTGTATTGTATTATATACACTTTTTTAAATAGAACCAGATGCTTTTCGCCGTTTGGTTCTATCGAAAAACCTAAAACTTATGATTGGCTATTTATTCAAAAAGAACTATTGGACATTGAGTAAACGACTCGGTAAACGATTACCTCTCTGACAGCACCCAAAGCCATCTCCAAAATTTCAATTTGGCGCTCGATTCTCTTTAAATAAGTATAGTCCACAAAAAGACGAAATGCCTAAAGTTCAAAGGATATTCCCTTGATGAAAAAGAGAAAGAGGGGATAATAAAATATGGCTATAGAAAATGCGAAAAAGTGCGGAACGTGATCGAGGAAGATCTATCGATATAAAACATTCATGGAGGTTTAAAGGACGACTGCACGGTGTGCAGCCACCGCCCCGCATTGCCAATTCGACAAAATGAGATTTACTGTCGCGTTAGTTTGCGTCAGTTGCGGATATCTAAAAATCCCAACCGAAAAATGTAATTTTAAACAAATATAAATTTATTTCAATTTTTTTTAACTGATATGTTCATAATACATACACAGGGTGAGTCTTAAATAAGTGCAAATATTTTTAGTGCTGGTAGATCTCGATAAAAGAAGCATATTTTAGCGATATATAAGAAGCATATTTATTTCACCTAAATGATACTCTTATTTATACACGCCACCCAAAAGTGCATTTCTTGTTTAAAGGTGTTCGCCAGTAGCACGGTTATCCCACACAATAAATAGAAAAAACTTACCTCTAATATTTAAATAGAATGTTATGCTACTAAATTATTGTTTATTACATTTGTCCAGAACATGGAAATCCAATATCTTCCCCTTTCCTTAAACACTCACTAAACGTACCCATTTACTAACTAAATCTATCGTTTTAAAATTGCCTTCCTTAATATTATTGTATCTTTTTTATGTCGGTATATGGAGTAAAAGTTTGCTTTTGTTGGCTTATGTTGTTACAAAGTATTAAACTTCAAAATTAACAATTCCTGATAACAATTACTTAATAAGATAAAACCAAAACGTTTCAAACTTTCAATATGCCGAGACGTCCATTACACACATTTTTCGAATGTCTGAACATATAGTTTAAACATATAATCTGAACAATTAAAATATATTTGTTTTTAGTGTATATTTTTTGACCTAAGGCATATATGTATAGCTCAGGCCGTAGAGGCACCAGGGGATGCATTATTTATTATACATCTGAAACAAATTAATATTATTGAATTCTCGTCTGAACATATTATTTTTGCCCTATCATATAAGCTTTGAATAACACCTTTTTTACACTTATACTGTGATTAGATGTCAAATTTAAGTATCTGTCTGGTATTTATGGATTTTCTATAAACATCTAAAATTAGTTTATTTTGCTTTTTTTGTTTAATTTGTTTTCGTTCAATTTAAATTATATACTCGACATAAATTGCTATTACTTTATTTGAAACGTTTGTTTAATTAAACTAAACACGTTTCCACGTCAAATAACGTTTTCCTGTTTATATTTCTGGTAAAGAATTTCCTCTGTGGCATATAATTTCCCAAAAAGAAAATAAAACTAGGTATCAAGCCAATAAAACAGGCCAAGCTATTTACGGTTGCCACTCGACCGAATACGGAGCGAATGCAAATATGCCCATTTCATTTTGCGAGCGCACTGTAAACAACGGCGACTAAAAACAAGTTTAAGTTGAATTTTTTATCTTTGACGTTTGCGTTACGGGAAAGCTTCTGTCCAAAAATGCCGCAGTAAATAATATTTTATTTTTTCGGTAAAATAGTTGTTGACAAAAGTTTGGGCTTTATGAGTACTTGCAATTAGAGATGAGCTTAACAGCGACCTTTCCGTTTACAGCTTATCCTAGTATCTATGTGTGCCCGCGACCAGCGATCACTGGATGCTTTTTTACTTCTACCAGCGACCAGAAACTGAAGTCGCCATTTCAGTCGCTTGTTAAATTAACTCAATCGATACGCCGCTGTACGTATATGAAATAATATCTGCGATGTTTATTATTGTGGTAAAGTAAAAAAGAAAAAGGAAGAAATAGTTATGTGACCATCCCTGTGAGAACCAGCGTCATGATCACTCCATTCCCAAGAATCCACATCGCCAATTCAGCAGGATCGTGAGAAACCTAGTTTACCTTTTAAATCATTTTGTATTATAAATTCATTCTTTGTTCTGTTGTCGTATTGTGTTGTGTCGTAAGCTGTAATTTTTAGAAATAAATTGTTTTAATATGGCTTTCGTTTTCGTATTTATTTGATCCTTGTTCTCGCCAGGTCGTGATCATTTAATCCAGTCAGTTCCGAGGCTGTACCTTTGGTTCTAGGAGCACTTTATTTTTTACAAATGCAGGTCGCTGGCCTCACTTGGAACTCTCCTCTTTTATCCGGGCTTGGGACCGGCTCTGAGGTCACTAAGCTACTCAATTCACCCAGCTCCCTCACAGGCAGATTTGTAGAATAAGTAGTGGCATTTAAATATCTAGGAGCAAATATAACAAGCACTAGAAATCTCAAAGGGGCAGAAAAAACCCAAACAACAAAGGAATCATTAATATCAGGATATTTAAGGGATATAATTTGGCGAAATAAATATGTAAGCGTCAGGAGCAAAGTTCGAATTTATAAGGCTTGCGTGAGACCGGTTATGACATATGCGATAGAGACTAGATAAAAAGTTACACGATTGCTGAAAATTGTTATGCTAAGATTTGTCAGCACGGTATAACTGAGAGTAATTTTGGTCTTTTAGTTGGTTGCCACTTCATACCTAGCATATAGCAAATCCTGTGAAGTGTTATTATTGCTGTTAAACCAACTAAACTGGCCGCTTCAAAATTATCAATGGAAATATGTAGCAATTAATCGCAAATTATGTTTGCTTCGGTAACTGCTGTTTGGTCCGTTTTAGAGCAACATCCCATAACTCCTACATTGCTTAATTTCATAGAGGCGGTTATTTTATGATTAGGCGAATGGATATTCTGTTTGAATGGATTGTTAATTGGCCGGATGTATAATGAAATGCGACGTTGCCAAATCTAAAAATCAGAAGATTTAGGGAAATTACATATAACCCATGTTATAAGATTTACATAGGGTGGGCCGCTATGGACGGGAAAATTTCCCTAAATTTAGGGAGAAAATGGGGGTTGACCTTGGGCTCAAGTGGCCCCATACCTACTCCTTAACTTTGAATTAACTCGTGCTAGCATATTCTATATTCACAATTCTAAATTCTGTTTAGATTTTGTAAGCACTTTAGTTATTGTTATGTACTCTATTATTAAATAAAAGTTAATGATTTTTTTGATCATAATGATGGTGGTTCATGAAAATGTAATTAAATGGTAAATTATTTTACATCCATAAATAAAAATATACAAAGTTATGGTTCAGAATATATTATGTCTGACCTTTGTAGCGCTTTAACATAGGCATATTACTTAAATTTATTGGGTAAAAAGGGTTGATTAAAGCGCTAATACTGATAATAATATATTATTCCGCAAACGTTTATAGTGGACTGGACTGTGAATTTTAACTTTGCAAAACGAGTTAATAGTTAAACGACATTATTCACATAACAATGGAGTGGCAATGGCAATATTTTAATTTTATTGCGAACTATAACAGTAATGCTAGCGATAGTCGATTAAATAATTATTGATGTATATAGTAGATAATTACGAATGAGATAAATTACAAAAGGGTGTCAAGTGATTATCGTGGTTATTGAGACGTAACGAGTATTTTAGGTTTAACTATTAGTATGTACCGTTTTGGTTTTGTTTGTTCAAATTTTGCGCGAAGAAAATATTAGTTTTGTACCGCAGAACATATATTTCATCGAAGTTAGAAATTCACGAGTATCAAATATTTGTTTGTACCTATCAATTCCTAAAACAAATATTTATATTAACCCACAAATGGATTTGGTACTTTAGTATTATAAAAACGTCTTAAAGGTCTCATCTACATGAATAAAACAAAGTAGGGTTACACAAAATTTAAGACTTTTTTATTTTGTAAATAAAAAAACAACACTCTTTTCAAGAAAAGCCGCGTTAGTTACACTATTTTATATCTGAAGAACGGATGGACAGATTTTATATACCGGGTGCGTCTCAAAAGTGGCTCACCCCTATAAGTTTTTTATTCTTTAAGATAAAAAAAAAAGTTTGCTATGTTAGTATACATAAATTAGGATTCATCTATGGTATTAAATTGTTTTTGGTCAATGACTACAACCTTTGATTTTTAAATGGCAGTCTCAGTATTTTTTACATTATTCGATAGAAAATGACACACTGAATAGAACTCGGAATAGAATGACATATCATTATATCAATTTTTGACAATTTTCGCTTATGGTTAATTTTAAATTGTAAAATTCTGTTTATAACGACAATTTGACACGAAATACCAAGTGTGTGGTACCAATTTATTCATAAAAAAATATTTTTCCGTATGTGCTAATGAATCTTGTTCCATTTCAAAGAATTGGAAAATGATAAAAATTAGATTTTGGCATTTTTTAATCACTCACTATAAGATACTAAAAATATTAGATAATCAAACTATTTTTCCAAGGCTCCGTTATTAAAAATTAAGTATTTTTAATTATTAATTTAGCCATGGCACTCTAGATTGAAATTTAAAATACGATGTTTTTAAAAGCGAACATGTCTAAAGTTTGGTTTGGTAATATATCGTATCGTCAAGCGTCACTAAAAGCGATCAACTCTGTAACTATCAATTCGAAGTTGGTTAAAGAATGCCTAGAGAAGCTGAATAAATTAGGCAAAAAAGTCCTCCTACCCTGGGTGCCCACTCACCAAGGGATAGAAGACAATAAAGAAGCAAACGATCTAGCTAGAATAGCAAACAATCCACTAACTGGATCAGAACTGTTCTGCTTTCCAAGCGGAAACCAACTTAAAGCGGAACTGAAGAACCTGGAAGACTCTATCCGTAACCTTGAATGAGAATTGTCCAATGGTTTAAAATACTCTAAAAAGTGCCTCAGAACTTACGATGAAAAAAATTAAAAAATTATCTTGATTTAAGTGAGAACAATCTTCGGATTATCACGGGGATTCTAACAGGACACTGTCTCCTTAACGAAAACATCAGTAGATTGAAGCTGAGAATCAGTGCCAAATGCAGATTCTGTGGGGAAAATAGGAAAACATCAGAACAGCTTATCAGTAAGTGCGCCGAGACGACAACCGTTGAATAATCAATACCCTGAGATTGTATGATGAGTTAAAACTCGTTATAACACCAGAGAAAGGGGAACATGTAATAGATCTGTAATGTCGCAGTGATTAACTCTCCTCTGAAACATTCTACATTCTTCTTCTACAAAATAACACTGACAAGCTGGTTTCTGTTTGGATTCAACGCCAGTGATATTTACAAGAAATAACTTTCTTATTTTGTAATAGTTATCAGGCAATAGTTCTTCATTTTAAGTTTGACTTCATATAATATTATTTTAGCCGAACGTCTGCGGTTTCTAATTGACGTATTTGCTATAAACTAAAGTGTTGAGTTATACTTGAATAATTGTATTTGGATATTTTAAATAGTGTTTTCTTTGTTCCTTGCCTTTTTTGTTTCCGACGACGCGACAGGAGGACATACGCCTCCCAAACGTTAAGCATTTTTTGTCGGTTAGGTAAATTAGTACAATATCACTTACAAGCTGGTTTCCATTTGGATGCAAGGTAGTAGTGTTTGCAAAAAATATTTTTATTATGTTGATTTTTTTCTAATGGTGAATACAGATTCTTTTTAAGATGTACTTTGTTTTTTTTTTCTCAGGTAGGATTTCGACAGACGATGACTGAAAAAAAGCATACGACATTTATGTCACGTGCGTCGTCTCTTGTTGTTTTTAACCAGTTTTATTGGTTAATTTTAAAAATTACAGATCATATTTCAATATTATTAGAGTCACGCAATGATAAACGATGCATGGACCGATGCATAACACATACCGTAATTTTTTGAAATATAATAACTCGATTAGATTTTTTCAGTTTTATACAGTTTTTGTACAATATTTGAGTAATCACTCGTCACTCAAATTTTAAATATATTAATTTCCTGCTATGCGTCCCAGTTGTACCAACTTATTTCTTTGTAGAATAAAATATATTACTTTGAAATGAAAATGACAGACACATCTATCACTGTCAATGATTTTTTTATTGGATAGACTAAATCGCAGTTTGTTTCCAAAAAATCAAAAAGACTTGCAATTCTTTCTAAAAATTGTTTTATTAATTTTACTGCGATGCAAGGCCTTATTCAACTACATAAGAGTGAGACTATTCAATCAATTTTGCCCCCTTCCAACTACTTTCATCATCCTGACCTCTGCAGCAGGGTGGCCTGACTGATGTTGTGGCTATTCGGCCATACGTTCGAACGGTGTTGTCGCTATATCTCGAGCCATTTGGCAACGATGGCCGCACTTTGTTACTGCCGACCCGTAATTACTGCAGTAATGGCCAAACTTAAGTTACAATGGCTCCATTCTGCGCCGTCTTTGATCGTATAATACTCTCGTCTAGGTATTGTGACGGGAGTAACGTGCTCTCGAAATGCCGTTGTTGTTGTGGATGGTCATGTTCCTTACATGTAATTAAAACTTTAATATCCAGATGTCACCTCTACCTACGTTAAACCAATAATTGAATGTGTAACGTTATTAGTATGTAAAATACCTCTAAGTTATTTATGTTTTATTTTCTTAATTCTACGTTTTTATACAAATCTGTTATTAACAAATAATTTGAGATAATAAGTATTATAAATAACTTCTATATGTATATAATTTTTGTTGTGGGTCCATTTCTGAGAAAACAAAGGGGCGTCTTGTCATTGAAGACATAGATATTTAAGAACAAATAACATTTAGATTTTAATCGCGTAACAAGATGTATAACTACATATTTTTATATGGTTTAGTAACGAAATAGTGACTTTTTCATTGAAAGATATCTAATAATTCCACTTTTATGCTATTGGAAATTGAATTCTGCAAAAAAAAAATGTTCTTAATTTGAGAGTAATTGTTGTCACCATATACATAATGTTTAAATATGTCAAAATAATTTTTAACAAATAATAATTAACATTATTTTTTTCTTACAGATAATTGGTGCCGCAGTATTTTCACTATGTCTCTGGTTAAGGTTTGAGACAGGTTATCAAGAAATATTGACAATTTTGAGCGCAAATCAGTTTTACATTGGAATCTACGTACTTTTAGTATCATCCCTGGTTATTATGGTCGTTGCTTTCTTAGGATGCATCAGCGCCCTGCAAGAAAATTCTGTAGTTCTCCTTGCAGTAAGTACTAAGTTTAGTTTAATTTACATATACGGAGCTATCAACAATGATAGAAATAGGTGGCAGTATTGTGTAAGAATATTTATATTAGTGATTGGTACTGATGCGAAAACAAATTATCGATCAGAAATTTTTTCTAATTATGTTTCATTAATCTTTTTTGAAAATTTTCAAGTTTTATTTTGTGATTTGTGAAATCGAATTATTTTTCAATACTACTACGGTGTTTAGCAATGACTAAAGAATACAAGGACTAATAACATCCGAGACAAAATTGTTACTATATCTCCAAACAGTGCCTTGGCACATAATTTTCTTAACTTAGCTGCTTGAGGAGATATTTATATTTTTGATAAATGTTTTGACTACGCCTATGGTGTCCGCGGTGGTATCATATTAATTAATTACAAAAAAAACGTATTAAAATGTTAACAAAAGGTACAAAACTAGTATCGACGTATAGCACATATCAAGTACCTACATATAATACCAGAAGAATAATTATCAAATTCGATAAAAAAAAACGCTAAAAAGGTGACTGCGCTCTTTACTTACCTATAAAACGTAACTTCTGGCTCTTTCTTATCACTGTGGCTTTTACAGTTGAAAGTTGAACAACTAATCACCATTGTAATAAAGTTTATATAACATTAACTACACACTAACTATTAAAAATCCCTAAAATTGTGGCTGATGTGTGTGTGACTAGCTGATTACTCATTAGTTACGTCCAATAAATGGCGTCTTACATCACAAATTCTGCTGCAGTCCGTATATGAGCATTACGTGTCCTTGTATTTTGTAGTCATTGGTGTTTATCATAGAAAATTAATATTCGCCATGTAGGTACCTACAATCCCGGCGTTCTATATAGGGTGTTTCAAAAAACATGTGCCATCTCTCGTGGGGAGATTCCTCATGTAAAAACAAAATTTATTTTTCATATCAACATAGGTCCGATTTTGCTTTGTTTCGTAGCTACAGGGAGTTAAAATCTTAATAATCTTTCCATTTATTATAATTTTCTTCCAGGTACTTTTAATGATTCGAATGAAATTTTGAGGGTTAAGTTGAGTACATATTTTAATGCTTTTAATGCTACAAAAGTGTCGATAAATTCATGTGGGACGGGCATATGGGTTATCACTGGAATATTTAAAAAAAAACATGTGCGCCACTGACTTTTTTCTTTTTATATCAAAATTGTGTAGGCCGGTTAGTGAAAATTGAAAGCTATCTCTTGGTATTTTGTCGAATTCGGCCTCCTTGATGATATAACGCAATTTTATTAATCATATTTAATAAAATTAAATTAAAAACAAAATTAATAAATTATATATTTTACCTAGTTTATTATTAAATAGTATTACTTACTATTATTATTCTTACTATTATTCCATCCTAAAGCAATTACAAATTAAAAATAATGGTATTTATGATAATTACAAAAAATCTAATTTTAAAAAGTTTTAACATCCTTTAACTCTAAAACTATGCATTTCTATACCCATGTTTATATGAATATGAATTAATTTTTTTCATATTTTTTTCATGAGGAATCAATGAGTACTCATTTAAAACAATCGCAAGTTAATGATATTAAAAATGTTTAAGGGTTGGTTTCAGACAAAATTTATTAAATTGCGTTTATACCAAGGAGGCCGAAATCGAGAAAATATCAAGAGACAACTTTAAATTGGAATTAAATTGCTTATACTATTTCGCTAACAAGAGAAAAAAAAATCAGTGGCGTACATGCCTTTTTTTAAAAAATATTCCAGTAATAACCCATATGAACGTCCTTGGTGAATCTCTCGACACTTTTTTAGCTTTAAAATATGTCGCATTTACAGTATCTTTTAGCCTCAAAATTTCATTCGAATCACTGAAAGTACTTGGGAGAAAATTATAATAAATAGAAAAAATAATAAGACTTTAATATCCTGTAGCTACGAAACAAAGCAGAATCGGACCTATGTTGATATGAAAAATTAATCTTATTTTTGCGTGAGGAATCACCCCACGAGAGATGACACATGTTTTTTGAAACACCCTGTATAATAATATATATACTATACCTAAATACGAATAAAAAATACGAACCCAAAATCCCAAGAAAATAAAAAAAATAGAATAATATTAAATATACTATGTAAATTTAATCAATTGGACAAATTATTTAATTTAACAATGGACGGGTAAATCCTTTTATAATACTAATTGGATTGATGGTGATGTAACAAAGGAATGATTAATATTCTGTGACTCAAAAGAAAAAAAAAACAGCGTACAATTAAATTTATTATTTTGTATATTCTAAATAAAACAAAACCCTTTGCCGCCTGGTTTAAATACGCATATTATTCTTGTATTCAAATGCAGACATTAACAAAGTTATGTATTTGTCTTCTTTGTTTACTGCTGATACGTTACCCTGAGTGTAATTAATTTTGATTAGACCAATTCGAACAAGCGTGATAATTGTTGTTATTTATTAGGGATACAATTTTGACTTGTAATCTAAACAAATTAAAGGCCAGATGTGATTATTCAATAATTAGGTTTATCACAGAGAATTTGTAATTTTAGACGTTTAAATTGTTTCTCCTATATTTCATTTCGAATTAAATGCTTTTTAAATACATGTTCTACTTTATTCACTTTTTTTCAGAAAAGTTTATAACAAATTAAATTAATAATAACAATCGTGGCATTTTATATGTTTTTCCTGAAATTTAATTCACAAGACCAGTAAATGCTGAACTTATTTCTAAATAAAAACACTGATTTCTGTGTCTAGCCTCCCGGTACCGGTTTCTGAATAAATCCCGGTAAAAAATAAGTAGCAGTAAAAGTATTCAACATATTCATGGCAGCGCTCTCCATTATAGTGGACACCAAACTGCGCGGAAGAGGAATGGGCATAAGATACAGATACGACGGCGCGGCAGTCTGTTCAACATAAAAATGATTCAGGGTAAAAACACGTACAAAATTCATCATAGAACTTTAATAGGCTGTAGTTGCAAAAACGTTACTGCTGTTACAAGAAATGCTGTACACATACCGTATACGAGACTTTGGGCCTTAAGTTGAACATAGATAATATTAAAATAATGTGCTCTTCCCCGGAAGGTCATAACAATGCTATAAAAATCGGAAAAGAACTATTGGAATATGTAGCGGAATTTAATTACCTCGGCAGTTTGATATCGGAAAAGGCGAATATCAACTCGGAAATTCAGCACACGATTAGCAGCGCCTCAAGAGCATTCTGGAAATTAAAGATAGAGTTTTCTACAATTATGACTTGAGTACAAAAACGAAACTTGCAGTGTACCGAGCTATAATAATCCCCACCATGTTGCAACAGAGGCATCTTAGATAACTGTTAAGAATCAAACAATCAAACGGTACCACCATGTCTCAAACGTATCGGTCCTTGAAAAAGCTATCTGAGAGAGCGCTGAAGTCATGATTACTAAATCCCGCATAAGATGGGCTGGCCATATATGCAGGATGCAAGGAAACCGCCTACCGAAATCTCCCTTTACGGTAAAATTGTAGACGGTAAAAGGAAACCGGGTAGACAAATAAAAGGGTAAAAGAAAATTTTCCACGAAAACTTAAAATATATAAGCATGCAGAATCAGTGGGAGGAAGCAGCGCACAATAGAACGCTATGAAGAAAAATTGTAAAGAGATTTTTGATTGCTCAGAGTGCGGAAGAGAGATAACATCGCGTATCGGGCTTTTCAGCCAGAAAATCTCATGACGTCATCTCAATCTTCTGATGCTTGTCATCAAATGAGATCAAATGCTGAAGACCCCAACATTATTTTCAAAAATAAAATAACACTTTTATAATAACATTGTTTTAACATTTGTATGCAGACTTTTGACAACAGTTGGCCGCAAATGTTGTATTCAATTAAAAAAAACGACAAAGGGTTTTAAATTAGTGTAATCCTGAGGAAGACAATATATTTGTCGAAAGGTCAACCCAACACTAAATAATCTGAGTTTTCTTTTGACTCACATCCAAACAAATAAAAACAACTTTCAGTATATCTGGCTTCTCATATATGAACTCTCTGTTAATATTTACATGGTATTATCTAAATATCTACCATTCCATATACATTTCTATAATGAAACAAATAATATTATTACAAAAGGACTTTAAATACCCTTCCTAATTCTCTCACAATGCACTCCATGCACTATAAATTGAACTAAGGGCTTGTCGCTGGATTCGGTTAAGTCAGGTCTTTTGGGATTACCTTATATTAGAGAGTGTATTAACAATAGTACAATAGCAACGCTGCGTACTAACTTATTGCTAGCAGTAATATCGTCTAATTTATTAGCGTTTGTTGTGCCTGAAGCAATAATAACCCTCGTTAATTTTTATTTACGTGAGCATACTGTGTGCATTGTACTGTTGCATTAGTTCTTGAAGTTTCGAAGTTCAGGTACGTTGGGGTACGTACGGATTATATTCGCGTGTATTAATATGAAGTTATTATATTTTATTAACAGCACAGCGTATATTTAAATATTAGATGATCATCACAATTATACCTTATAAATATTTAATGAGTGAACGTCTGGAAATCTCCGTTATATAGGGTGGGGTCACTCGTAGGACGCGGAGGCTCCAGGGAGAACGGTAGTCTATATCGATATAAAATTTTTGGAGCATATATAGCTAATTGAAATCATTTTATGTAAATATATATAGTTATACAGGGTGTTCCCAAAAATGTTACACATCAAAGTTGTGTTTTTTTGTAATGGAACACCCTATATATTAATTGATTTTCTGATTCTAGGAAATAAATAAAGGTGAGTTTTATTAAAGAAGCACATGCCTAAAATGTAATGATCTTGACATATTTCACATTTTGTAAAAATGAAGAATAAAATTTAAACTTTAATAAGAGCTCTCTAAATTGTAATTTACCCTGTATAGCCTGATATTTAATTCCAATAACCAT